GGAGGCTGGGGCAGGAGGATTGCAAGTTTGAGCCCAAACTAGACAACTTAGCTATGGAGTGAGATTCTGTCTCAAAATAAAAAATAAAAAGGGGTGAGGTGGGGAAAGGAAGGAGATTTTTAAAAAGAATTAAGATGTGTGTGTACCTATACCAACTTCCTGGTAGCAATGTGATCATTGTGTACCACAAGTGTGTACTAATACAAATGAACAGATTTTAAGGAGGGCTGGGATGTATGTCAGTGTGACAGCACTGGGTTCAATCTGTAGTGTCACAAAAAATAAATAATGCAGGGCCAGGGATTTAGCTCAGTGATTCCACTGCCTGTCTTGAAAGCTCAAGGACCAGAATTCGATCCCTGGTACCAAAAAAAAAAAATGCATCTAATAATGAAACCCTGTAGGAGGAGCAAGGCAGGTTTGTGTGGACTCTCAAGAAGTGTTAGGTAATGCCGGATGTGGTGGCGCAAGCCTGTCATCCCAGCACTTGGGAGGCTGAGGCAGGAGGGTCACTGTGAGTTCAAGACCAGCCTGGGCTACATAGTGAGTTCCAGGTCAGTCTCAACTACATAGTGAGACCCTGTCTCAAAAAAAAAAAGAAGAAGCATTAGGTGTGCACATGCATGGGACACATGGATGTGTGTGTGTGTGTGTGTGCACATGCGTGGGGAGGACCTGAGAAACTGCTCAGAGTGGCTTCTCAACAGCTGGGGGAAGGGGCAGTGAAAGACTACGACTACATTTCTACCATTTTTTTTTTTTTTGTATCAGAGATCAAACTCAGGACCTTGCACTTGCGAGGTACCACTGAGCTAAATCCCCAGCCTACCATGTATTCTTTTCTGCCTTCTGAATTTTGTATTCTGAGCATATTTTACCTATTTACAAAACTACAGAAACATTTTAAAAATTTAAAAATTAATTCAGCATCCATTATAGGCATTGAAGATTCCTAGAATAACCCTCCTTTTGACTAGCTTTCCCCTTACTGTAATACTGATAATTTCAGTTCTTTAAGGGCTTTTTTTTCCCCTTTTCCTTTTTTCTTCAGGGAGTCTTGCTATGTAGCTGAGATTGGCCTTGAAACCACAGCAATCCTTCTGCCTCAGCCTCCCAAGTGCTAGGATTACAAGTGTGGGCCCCCACTCCTGGTTAGTTCTTGAAGGGTTTTGAGGAGGCTTTGTCTCTGCTGCAATTACGTTTATTTTGTTTTTGAGACAGGGTCTTGCTGTGTAGCTTTGAACTCACTACGTAGCCTCGGTTGACCCTGGACTTACAGTGATCCTCTGGCCTCAGCCTCCCGAGTGCTGGGATCACAGGTGTGCGCCAATATGAGAAGCATATTGTTTATTTTTATTATTTAAAGTGTATTTTTCAGAGTCAAAGGGTTCATGGCTTTCATTAGATTGTTACAGGTAACTGTGATTAAAAACCAGTGCCTTAAGTGATCGTGACAGCTTTTCCCTCTCTCATTAGCAATTTCACATGGTCTCACATCAAACCAGGAGCAGTTAAAGCGCTTGCTTGTTTTCTCTACGGTTCACACCCTCCCCATGAAAACAACATAAAAGCTGTTCGGGCTCTGATGGCGTCTAGCCAGTTTTCATGTAACTGCAGCTGTTCTATTGTATACATCCTTTTATTAGAAGTTACCTCAGACTCTCTTGAGATGGGGCCTGGAAAGGAAATATCAACAAACAGAAGCAGATGTTAAAGTGAAAAGCCTAGAGAGGCAGGGTATGACAGCAAGGAGCAGAGTGGTAAGACCTGGTTCCTTCCTAGAGGCATGGGTGTGGGAAGTGGGGGATGCTAAACGGCGGGGAGGTGGGGAGAGGACAGGCCCTGATGGCGCAAGTCCGCCCTAGGTCGTGCCCCACAGGGCCCAGGGGAGACGGCTCCTCTCCTGCGTGGAAAGGCCCTCTGGCTGCAGGCGCAGGAGTTTATCTGACTCTGATTTCATTAGAAGCAGTGAACCTTTTCCTCACATGCTTGGAATTCTTCAGCTGTGCCCGTTTGAGCAGCCACCAGCTCACGAGGTACTCATCTAGGCTGCGCGTCCTCTGCGCTGCACTGAATGCTTCCGCTGAAGCAGCTGCTCTCTGAGTCTGTCTGCTGGAGGCGCATTTTCAGTTGTAGACCTCAGTCAGCAGCTTTCTAGGGGAGACCTCCAACAGGGGGGCAGATGAGCGTTTGCCCCAGAAGTTCCTGTCACGTTTTTGCCAGTGAGAGCCGTCAGGCTAGAAATTTGGGCGTGTAAAATTTGGAACATTGTAAATATTTAAAACGTCAGAGTACTACATGGGGGCTGGGGATTTAGCTCAGTGGTTCTGGAGCCTGACTGCGAGTTCGATCCCCAGCACCAAAAAAAAAAGTACTACAATGATAAGTTTATTGGGTTTCCTCTGTTCGACTTGACTAATCCTTTTGTCTACCTGTTGAAGTCTCCTCTAGTCTTAAGAACTGGAACTTGTCTAAAAGTTTGTCTTTTTCTGTGTGTGTGTGCGTGTGTGCGCCAAGGATCAAATTCAGGACCTTGCACTTGGGAGGCAGTTGCGGTGCCACTGAACTAAATCCCCAACCCAGAATTTGACTATTTTGATGCCTCCATTTTCCATCAGAGGAAACGGAGGTCTGGAGATGTTTGGTCAGCGGCTTCAAATCTGACAGCTGTTTAGTGGCAGGGCTTGAATTTGGCGCTCCTTGCGCAGACTGAGAGTGTAGGAAATACAGATTGCATGGGTGTGCGACAATCCTCCAGCCTCAGCTTCCCGGGTACTGGGATTACAGGTGTGAGCCTCATGCCTGGCCTTTGCCGTACTTTGTAAAGTAACGCTATAGAATCGGATTGTCCACATGATCAGATTCTTAGGAGAAGGGTATGAAAATAGTGACTTAGGAAGGGAGTGCATTCAAGGAAGAGAAAGAAATGAAATACACTAAAAGCTTCTCACATTTTGTAACAATGGATTGATTCTCTCTTAGGGGAATCTGATATGTACTGTTGAGACTGCCCAAATTAAATACTTTGTAGTGAGTTCCATTGAAAGCCGATAAAACTCTGGCTGCAGGCTTTTTACTGAAACATCTAGATAAATAACACAGTGGGGCTGTGGCTGATGTTCATGGCCTTGAGAATTTGCACACAGACAGTAGAGGAAGAAGGTGAGAATGACAAGAGCGGAATGGTTCAGTCTTGAGATTTGTCTGCAGCCCAAATTAGATTTTCTTTCAGACTGTGGGTTCACAGATATTCTGCTTGGCTGATGAATATTCCTGTTTTGTAAGATATATCACCTGCATGTGTGTGTGTGTGTTATTTTTAATATGTTATAAAGTCACTTTAATAGTTTAGTTTTAGAGGAGAAACACTAAACAATACAAGAAGGCCTCACCTGGTCCACCTCTCCAGTGTTACAGGTAACGAGGTGGGTGTGGGCACAGAGGTGACTCCCTCTGAATTACTTCTGGCAAGGTCCAGGCTCCCAGCCCTTGGCCTGGTGCTTCCTGTTTGGGATTGGCATAGTTTCTACTCCGAAGTGGGTTACTCCCACAGAATGAGGGTGACTGAGGTCAGGATTGGAGCCCTCCTTGCTTCAGCCTCTGCTCTTAGGCTGTCTTGTCTCTGTTCTAGGCCGGAGCTGAGCAGTCCCAGCTTGGGCAACTCAGCAAGACCCTGTCTCAAAAACAGAACAGCCGGAGAGGTCATGCATATTGGTAATCCCAGCCCTTGGGAGGCTGAGGCAGGAGTAGCACCCTAAATTTGAGGCCAGCTTGGGCTATACAGTGAGTTCACAGCCAGGTTGAACTATATAGAGAGAGACCCTGCCTCTAGCAACCAACCCATAAAACAAGACCAGGAAGCAATTCCATGCAGAGGCCCTGGGTTCCACCCCCAGTAATGGGGGAAAGTAAGAGGGTTTTTGAAAAGCTGCTGTGACCCAAGCTCTGCACACATCTGAGGCATACACAGGCTGAAGGGTGGCTGACACTCAGAACGTAACATGCTTGCCAGAAAGGGTTACACTTTGAGGCAGAAGCGCTCCCTTGGGTCTGTTGCAGTAGTGCTGGCTTTGCTCCTGACACTGCCTGGTACTAGCACCCTTGAAATGCACTGCCCCGCCTGATCACATGCCAGAGAGACTTCCAGCCTTCCGGTTTTGTTTACTATGAGATCAACAGCAGACAAGCAGGAAGTGTGGGCTGAAATTTTCACAGTGACATAAAGGAATGAAAAGCGTTGCTGTTTGCCCTCAGAGCGTTGTCCACCGTCACACCTTTCCCTTGGCCTAAGGACTTTCTGATCTCCAAACAGAAGCTGAGCATCAGCGCCTTTGCGTTTTACGGAGCCGAGTTGAACTTCTGTATCCCAGTGTGAGAAACGTCGTTGAAACTGCGTGGGAAACAACTGCCCCAACCCGCGAGGCAGTGTCCTGTCTTGTCTTGCTTGTCTTGGGTCCCACAGGGTTACCCTGACAACCACTGGCCCGTCCACTTCTCCGTCTTGCATGCACCCTGGCTCTGTGCCTCTCCCCTCTCACCAGAAGTCTTGCGTCGCAGTCCTGCATTCCTTGGACATTTTGAAACCTGGGGCCATTGGTGAGGGACCCTAGAATGTTACATGGAAACAGCCTCGACCTGGCGGCACAGCTCCCCACCCACCACCCTTCCAGGCCATGGCTTCCCAGAGTGTTTGCCCTGTCGGGAAATTGCTCCTTCTCACAGTTTATAAGCCAAACCCAGGCTATGAGTACTACCTGCCACTTGCTAAAAAAAACACCAAAAGCACAGGGGTGCTGGAGGTACACATACAGGCAAAGGATGCAGACACCTGAGGAAAAACAGCTGGGGAACGTGAGCAGACATCCTCGGAGGCAAACCTTTCTGGCGCTGTAAGCAGAGGGCGAAGGCAGAGGGGGCAGACTGTGCTGCTGCCCTTCCTGGAGCGAACTGGGATATAACCGGAGCTGCGCGACAGCCCGTCCCCACCCGCCGGGGCTCACCTCTGCAGTGCGCAGTTTCCAGGCTTCGGGGTGCGGGCCAGGCGAGGTCTCCTCCGGGCGGGCGCCGGCGCTTCCAGCTGACCCTGTTGTCACTTGGTGGGTGGGAGGCTGGCCGCGGAGATCGCGTTACCCAGCCGCTGACTGGCTGTGGCCAGCCACGTGATGACCAAAAGTTTGGGTCTGTGCGGCCTGGCGACCACACAGCCTTCTTTCTGAAGGGCAGCGTCCCTAGACCTGAGGAGCTGGGAGAAGTCCGGGCTGGTCCCCGCCCCCGGTTTTTAGTTTAGTTTAGTTTTCCAGAGTCTCTTCGTTTCCTGCAATTTAAGATGTCACTGGCCGCAGGAGGGAGGCAGAATAAAGACGCGGGCATCGGTGAGGGGCAGGCAGTGGGAGCTGAGCAGAAGGGAGGAGCACGGCGGCGCTCACCCCGGCAGTGCTGGAGGGGGACCCCACCTCGGAGGGCAGGAGAGGGCAGGGCCGGGACCCACGCCGCGAAGAACCGAGCTGTTTTTAAATTTCTAAAAAGTATTTTGCAGCGGGTAATGTTATATATGGTGTGACCTTAACTACAAAAGGGTCCAAAGAAGGGAGGCGTCCGAAGTCTTTTCAGCCTCCCGGGCCTCCGTCTCTTCCTCCCCAGCCGTTGTGAATCCTTCCTGAGCTCGAATATCCTTTCCGTGAAAGCAGAAACAGACGCGTCTTCCCCGGCGCCTTCGCCTTGACCCGCGGTAACGCGTCTGCCCTGCGCCTGCTTTTTCCCTTCTTCCGGCTGCGCGTGGAGATTTCTCCATGGGCACCGTGTCCTTCGGCGTGACGTGCGGTCCCCTCCTCTGGAAAGGTCCTGCTCTCTGTGGACGATAAAGGACCGGCCTTTGGCCCTTTCCCTGATTCCTTACGCAGAAGTCGGGGCTCAGTAAACATCGACTGCCTCTTCACACATTCGTTACATTTTGTTTACAACTTGCTCATGTTTTCTATCTGGTCTCTTAGAGAAGCAGACGTATTTTTTCAGTACTCTAGAATGTATCCAGCCCCCGAATGACCAGTGTGTCATGCACACCCATCCAAGCTGGCTATCTGATTCCTAAGGCCCAGCTTTTCTGACTCTTACCATCGAACATTGTTTCCACTCCATCCTTCCCCTTAACACTCCCTGTGTCCCTGCAGTGGACATTTATTATTTACTTACAATGATGTGCACAGACTTCTTCTGATGTTCTTTTATCCATGTCTCCACACCTTTTTTTATGCTCATAGTGTTCCTTTTCCTGTCTAGTCTTCTGCTTCCCGTTCTTTTGTTTTGCATTTTTGTGGCAGGGCCTCTGTAGTTCAGGCTGTCCTCGAACGCACTTGCAGTCTTCCTGCCACAGCCTTTGAAGTGCTGGCTCAAGTGCTGGGATTACAGCGGTGTGCCCCACATCTGGCTTGGTACTTTTCTCTCTGATCTTGTTTAGCTTTAGCCTGTACTCCCTAAAGGAGCAGGTAATTTTTTTTTCTACAATCATCTCATACAGGATCTTTCTTTTCAGGGTACTGATAAGTCTGACATATAGTACGTCCTCAGTAAACGTTGGGACAGGTTTTGTAGAGAAGATCCCTCCAGCAAGAATCTCGTTGCAGACCTCCTGCCTTTTGAACTCTGCTCTCTTGTCATCTCACAGTTGTGCATCGCCCCTTTCTGGCTGACCTTGAGTAGAGCGCTCCTGAGGAGAGACCCTGAGAAGCTGGGTGCAGGGGGAATCGCCTCAGTCACTTCGCTCCTCCCCCAGCTCCTCACAGAGCTTGGTAGTGTTTCCTTCTCAGTAGATGGAGTGAGGTGAATTAGTGGATTTCTGTGGCCTGTCCCAGTTTCAATTTCTGATGATCTGGAATTGAGATTTGAATTTTTTTTTCTTTTTTAGTACTGGGGATTGAAGTGAGGTCCTTATGCTTGCAAGGCAGGACGTGGAACCACTGAGCTAAATCCCTGGCCCTGGAATTGAGATTTGAAATCACATTCATCTATCTCTCTGGACTCTGTCCTTTAACCCCTGAACTTCCCCCAAATATGCACCTGGTCCAGAAACTTAATAGAAATTCTGAAGACTGGGGTCCTGTTGCTAGTAGAACAATAGAGAATGTTACAGATGTTTGAAGAAGATTCTTAATGCTGTTGGATGTGTTAAAAAACTGGCTAGCCGTGGTGGCGCACGCCTGTAATCCCAGCACTCGGGAGACTGAGGCAGGAGGATTGCTGTGAGTTCGAGATCAGCCCGGACTACATAGTGAGTTCCAGGTCAGTCTCAACTACGCAGTGAGACCCTGTCTCAAAAAAAAAAAAAAAATCACAGAGGAAGGGCTGCAGATTGAGCTTAGCTCAGTAGCAATGCACCTGCCTCACAAGCAGAAGGTCCTCAGTTCAATCCCCGCTACTGGAAAAAAAGAAAACAAGGCTGTCACTTTGCACACTACAGGTTTGTTATGGGCGCACAGAGCAGAGAGAGTGGTTTAGGCGTCCCCTCCTGGAGGACAAGTTTTCTGTCAGTGTGCTTACCTGCTCCTTCCAGTGGGCTGTCTTTCCATCTGCCTAGCTCTGTATAGGCAAAGATTAGTATTCTTCTTTATAGAGTACTAAGTGTGCAGTTAGTAGGTGTGAAGAGGGCTGGGGATTTAGCTCAGTGGTTCTGGTGCCTGCCTCACAAGCACAAGGGCCCAAGTTCAATCCCCAGTACCAAAAAAAAAAGAAAAAAACCATTTTCAAGTGCAAGGTCCTGAGTTCAATCCCTGGTACAAAAAAAAAAAAAAAATCAAAGTTTTGGGCTGGGATTTAGCTCAGTGGTGCTGCCTCCTGTCTCACAAGTAGGTGTGAAGATTTTCACAAGAACACTAACCAAAAGGATTTAATTGCCATTAATTTTCAATCAGTTCTGTAGTAAGATTATCTAAATCGTCACCTTATGTTTTCATAGGCAACAGAGTTCCCATTGTTTGCAGGTTTGAGGCTGCTGGACTCCCTTTCCGAAGGTAGTTTCTAGGTTCTTTGTCTTGGGCAAAGAGTTGGTAAGACAAGTGCAGATGGTAGCAAAGTTTTATTAAAGGTGGGAAAAAACACTGGCTCTGCAGAGTGAGTTTGGGCCAAGTAAAAGTAGGAAAAAAAGTACATCCTACACCACAGGGGCAGCCACCAGGTAAGAGAGAACGCAGTGACCAAAAGTCAGCGTAGACTTTCCTTTTTGTGTTACCCACTTCTCAGGCTGACCTCAGGTGTAGGCTGTCCTGTTGGAAACCTGCTTGCATTCTTACAAGAAGTCCATGTGCGGGGCTTTGGGAGCTGTTCTGCGTGTATGTTCTGGGATCTTGTCACACCTCCTTACCCAGCCAGTTTTAAGCACACCTTACCTGCCTGTCTCATTTCTCCCAGAGAGACCGAAATTCTTGTAATTCTTTATGAGGTGCTGAGGAAGTGGAGATCGCTTATGTTTTATAGCTTCTTCCAGCTGAAAGACCCTACCTGCTGGGGATTATGTGCTCTCCAGCTACCTTGGGGTACTGGGGCTCACTGGCTGAGTTAAAGAGAAAAATGGTTGGTGGGAGAAAGAAAGTATAGTATGATGTTGGGGATGTAGACCCCAAATACCAGGAGCAGGTCAGATTTCCATGCTTCTTGGAGAGGAGACAGGATGGCAAAGAGGGAGGTTAGATAAATCACTGAGAGCCTGAGAGCCGTAGCCTTAGCAAGATTACCCACATAACAACGGATCTCATGAGAAATGGGAGGCTCGGTATCGGTGCCCACTTAATCCGTAGTAAATTAGGGTTATTGGCGACTTTACTTTGTTACAGAAGGACTTGGCAAGCGACACACAGAGAGGCAGCAGAATGGAAGTAAAAAAAGTTTACTCCGTCGATGGGGATGAATCACACCTAATGGCGGTGCCTTGATCAAGGGTTTTTTTTGTTTTTTGTTTTTTGGTATCAGGGATCAAACTCAGGACCTTGCGATTGCGAGGGTTTTACAGCCTTGATCTCATTCAGTGGGTTCCATCCCACTTTCACAGCTCACATTGCTGATACCCAAAACATGGTGGTGAGGCAGTTGAATTCCAACGCCATTCTTTGTTAGGGGAGGCTACCTTTAGGATTTTTCTATTCTAGTCAAGGGGAAGGGAGGTGTCTGGTCAACAAAGTGAACTGTGGTTCTTTCCATTTACAAAATTTGTAGAGACTAGACACTGAACTAAACAGAGCAAAGGGCAAGGTTATCTTGCACTGAGACATTTCCTAGGTCTTCACTATTAAAGTTTTCGCTGTCAGCCTCTCTGTTCCTGGAGAAGCACTGCAGTCTTGCTTTCTGAAGAGGAGCCTTGGGTGTTATCAGGAATCGCTTTCTTCTTAGTCCTGTGAGGATTCTAGCGACCATTGCCCAGGTAGGACTTTTGTAGCTTGTTATTGTATCTCTTGAGGAAGGACCAGCATGGTTCCTCAGGAACTGGGAAGAAGGCTAGGGTCTTGAGGGGCTGTAGGGCTGCCCTTCTGGTTCCCCTGTCAGCCTTTTGATTTTCCAAGGAGACTTTGGATATGCAGTGAATGAGAGCAGCCTGCTTGGAAAGATGGGCTGCCCCTAAGGGTTGTAGAATTTCCTGCTGGTATGTGATAGATGATTGCTCACTAGTCAGCAAGCTCCTTCTTTCCAGCTTTCTGCATGAGCACATAGCAACAGAAAGGGATGTATAGAGTCTGTATAGATACTTAACTTTTTGCCCTTTTGTAATATCAATGGCCAAATTAAGAGCTACATGCTCCACTTTTTGAGCAGAGGTCCCCAGGGAAGTTGGTCTCAATGACCTGTTGTAAATGGACAACTGCATAAAATACTTTTTGATGTCCTTCTTGGACAAAGCTACTTTAATCAGTGAACCACACCTTTTCAGGGTCTTGGAGAGGTAGGTTACGGATGTACTACCTGTTTATATACCTGTGGGAGATCACTTGTTCACAAGAGTGGCCAACTTCTGGGCCTGCCGGCATCAGAGAGGCAGTATTAGGAGTAGTGCAAGTTTTTATAACCTCAGGAGTGTCTAAGAGGATGGCCTGATACTTGGCAAGCCATTCCCCTGTTAACCCCAGGTGACCTGT